AGAGAGCAGAAAGTGAGAAAACTGGGAGGAGAACGTGTAGAAAGTAAGGCTGTAAGATGGAGGGGGAGAGAGGAAAATTGATTGAATTTGGGGGTTGTGGTTTAATTGGTATGCAGTGGGTAATAAAGGAGGGAAATGGTATGGTAGAGATGAGGGAAACTGAGATTGGCTGAGGAGCTGGGTGGGCTGGAATATTAGGATGGGGTTGGGTAAGAAAAGGGGGACTGAGAACCAGAAGGCTGGGAGAAAGGTGAGGGGAGACAGTTCTAACAAGGAGTGCTGGGTATTAGGGAAAGCTGGGACTAGCAGAGCAAAGGGAGTGGAGTACAGAAACTGGGATGGGAAACCTTAACAGTTGATGAAAAGCCTAGAAAAGGAGATTGGGACTTGGAACCTAAGAGGATTGTGAATAGAGATGTGAGTGACCAACTGCAGACCAGGATAAAAGGGAGAGAGAACTCAGATGAATAAATAGGTAGGACCTAAGCAAGAAGTCTGTAGATAAGATGTTTGGTGGAAGGGTTGGGAATTGGCAATGACTGAACAAAAATACCAGGTGAGGGATTAGGTATTGGAACTGAAACAGGAAGTCCAGGGGTATAAGATTAGGATTTATTGGGTAGAGACTGATGGCACTTCTCAGGCGTAGGGCCTGGGACTGACTAGAGGAGTGAAGAAGGGACAGTATGATGACAGAACAGAATCCATGTCCAGTAGAGTTAGGAATAGAAGCTAAAATCCCCGAGTCTCCTCATTCTCTGCTTTCAGTGAATGTCCATGAAAGCAATGGGCACTTTTAAACATGCTCTGGGAGGTAGGAGACGCTTTATTAGGGCAGCTGCGAGAGTTGTGTAGTGTACACAAGGTTGTGTAATGAAGGAGATTTGTTTGTAGGAGTCTGTTGCAGAGGATGTAGTGTGTATGAGGCAGGGGAATGGAGGAAGAAGAGAGAGGATTTCATGGTTAAGTAGGCCTGGAGAACTGGATTCCCTCCCTGCCTCTCACAGAATTTGTGTGGGGTGCAAATCAGTTTTTCATATTTATCAATTGTATGTTTCTCATTTTCAAGGTACCTGGCTTGATATCTTGGGATCAGATTTGCAGAAGTTCTGAGAACCTATGGTTCTTAGCAGTTGAAGTCTACAGAAACTAGTATAGGCAAACTTCTGGTCAATTTCCCAACTTTTGAATGCCTGATCTCCTAACCTGAATGTTCTTTTACTTGTTTTTGTATGTAGTTTATACAATAGCAATTTCATATGATTTTATTAACAAGTATCAAAGCAAAAATTGATTGCAGAGGGTGGCCAGCTGTCAGACCAGTAGTATTTAGAATTAGTTTGAAATAACTTTAGAGCTTTTGTCTCAACTAGAACAGTGGTTCTCAACCTTTTCTGACACAAGAAAATGCCTCAGAAAATGCCAACTCTTTGCTTTCACTTATTTTTGACTGCAGAAAAATAATAGAATAATTCTTCTGTTGCAAAGAATTCATAAAGACCACAAGAGATCAGAATATTTTGACAGTATGGATTCCTATTTCAAATGTCTAAGTTTATCTTGTGAATCATATGTAAGTATTTGCGTACCTAACAGTGAATATATTACACAATATCCCACAGCACCCCTAAAAAGATCTTGCATGTAACACCCTAGTTGAGAATCACTGAAGTAGAGTTTTCAAGTTCACTGGTATTTATATAATGACCATGTTCAAAACACACACTAGTCTGATTGCTTTATTTTATGTATTTCATTGTCTAATTTCCTTCCTACAAGTACTTCTTGGGAGTTTGTCACAGCATGATTGTTGGACTCCCTGGATAGTTACATTAATTGTTCTTTCTAACCCTCTTCTTTTCTCTCCCTTACCTCTCTCAGGCATGTTTAAGTTGCCTCTATAGTGCTTGCCATGCGGTGGTGTTTATTTACTATTCAGAAAATCAGTGTGCGAATGTTTTTCTATTATATGTTGTTTCTTTGTATTCCTTTAAACTTTGTCTTGATGCATAAGTAATAATTTTCATATTAAAGATGGTCAGGAAGAAGGAAAAAAGAGAAAAGAAGTACCATCTGCTAGACACAGAACTCCTAGGATCATTGCTAGTATTTATGGCAATGGATACTGTATTGTTTCATATAGATGGCTTCAGATCAGAGAATTGTAAATGTAATCCCCATGAATATGTCATCATCTGTCCTCCTTGATTAGTAATGGTATAGACTACCAGGAAGATGGTATACCACATTTTAGTTACCACAAGCATCCTGACATTTTAGCTGAGAAAAACATCTCAATGCAGGCATATTTCCCTTAGAATTACCATTACATCTTATCATTTTGGTTCATTTTTTAAACACAGTGGCTTTCTTTATGGTATCCATTAATGGTGACTATTTATGTTCAAGCCACTTTTTCTTTTTAGAGCTTCCTAAAATAAATACTACTAGAATACAATTTATTCATTTCTATAACTTCCCTTTCTGACCTTGGCCCCACAATTTCAATCCTTTTTCAGTGACTGGCTGCAGTTAGGGACTGGATGCAGGTGAACTAATTGAAACGGAACCAGAAAAGACAGAGGTGATGGTGGGATATATGTCACTGATGGGGTTCAGCCTTCTCTTGTCACTCAGGTTCTCAGCTTTGGGGTGGCACTCATGGATCCCTGGGTGGACCTGGATTTTCAGATGGTGGTGATGGCTGAGAGCACCTTTTACTAACTCTCTGGTTATAAGGCTACAACCCGTTTTTCAGATTCAGACCTGACCATGATTATCCAGGCCTTTTGCAACCTCAAGCCTAGCCTGTTGCAATGTATTCTGTGTAGGGCTGTCCCTGAGAACTGGCTGGAAGCTGCAGCTGGTGCAGGAGACAGTGGTCAGCCTTCTGAGGGGGTTGGGTCTCCAGGAGCACATAACTCCAGTGCTCCAACTTCTGTAGTGGCTCCCTATAGCTTTCCAGGTGCAATTCAAGGTGCTGATTTTGGCCTATAAGGCCCTGAATGGTCTTGGATCCATACGTATACTTTCTCCCTTATGCCCCATCACAATTCCTAAGGTCAGCTGAGAGCAAACTCCTGCCAGGACCATCAGTATGCCAAGTCTGGTTGGCAAGTTGCACCTCAGCTCTGGAAGTCTCTCCTTCCTGGGGCCTGCCAGAGCCCAAGCCTAGATACCTATATGGGCAAGTATTTACCAAAGTTAGGATGAGATGTTGTTTAGGGGATCTCTGGTTTACCCTGATTCTTGTTACTGTCCTGTTATTAAATTATTCTGTTTTCTTATTTTAAGCTGCCCTGAGCCCTTGTTTGGAAGAGCAGCATGTAAATTGAATAAAAAATAAATGAACTTGCATACTGCAGTATGTAATATACAGAGCTCCTAACAGATACCTGATGGCTTTTATAGCAGCTCCTTTCTCAGTTAAATAATCCCACCATTGCTGAACATTACTCAGAACTGCTGGATGCTGACTAGTTTTGAAAATTGGGGTATTTAGGGTATTTTCTACACTGAGGCTGCATCAAAAGATGTTAAATCAGGAAAAGGACCAATGCTAGGAGTTGTTAAAAACCATCTCTTGTTCATGTTTCAGGCAAAAGGAATTTCAGTTTACCAGTACCTCAGAGGATTTTAGAGAACATTATAGTTTGAATGTTTCTGTGTGCCACTGGATATGTTTTAATGCAAAAGTTCTTTCTGACAGCAGTGCAAGTCTTGGCTTGCCTGTGACTGGCTCCCCTGTGCCTCTTCCCTCCTGGTGCCTATACCTCTGTGAGTGTTCCTTCTCCCCACCCTCCTGCCCCTTGCCCCTGTGCCTGTCTCATCCACACCCTGACTCCCTGCCCTCCTGCCCTGCCTGAATGTGCCCCCCCACCCTGCTCCCACCTGCAGCCTGCTCCCACATGTCCTGCTCCTCTCCCTGCCTTCTCCCCACTTACCTTCTGCTGCAGCTCTGCTCCTCCAGGGCACTTAGCACCACCAGCAGCCCCAGCCCAGCCCAGCCCAGCCCAGCCCAGCCCAGCCCTGGAGAAGCAGCAGCAGCTCCTGGTTGGGCTGGATCAGGAGCTGGAGCAGAAGGAAACGGGAAGGGGGCAGCTGGGTGTCCGGAGGGGCAGGCTGCAGGGAGGAGCAAGCGGTAGGACAGGCAGGGTGCGGGGCAGGCACAGACGCAAGGGGCAAGAGGTACGGGTGCAGGCTGCAGGCTTCACCCTCCCACTGCACTGGTTCCTATGCTTCTTGCTGTTGTGTTTACCATCCCCCACTGAATGAGCCATTCCAGCTCAGCTCAGGCAGTGGATTAGCTCCAACTTCAGGTCTGGGGCCAAAGGTGCAGCTAAGCCACTGCCTGCTCAGGGCCATTCTTGAATCCCAAATGGGGCAGAAACCTCATCTTAGATTCGAGTAAATATGGTAATTACTTCTTATGTTGATTCATAAAAGTTGGCTGTTGTTGGCTCTATGCATGTGACTGAGGAATAGTAAAATTTTATGTTAGAGAGTTGATTTATACATTAAAAAAATTGAAAGTGTTAATTTATATTACTCTGAAACTTATTTTTTCCAAAGCTAGGGAAAGTAGTCCAGCTTTTGGGGTGTGGTTGTCCATTCTTTTACGCTTTTTGGCAAAGGTGTCAGTTCTATTTTAAATGTGTTCTCTTCAGTAACAGGCAAAAAACTGAGTCAGAAAGCTCTCTTCTACTCCCATGAAAAATTATTTTTCTTCTTTTTAAATAAGTGTTTTATGACTTTCTTCTAACACAGACAGTTTACTGAGTCTGGAAAGCTTTTCTTGCTTTTTATAAATGGAAAAGACAAATAAGTGTAGAGTATATTTAAAGATATTTGGCCTTTCTTAAAAATGTGTTATTGTAAAACAAGAAGGAAAGAAACACATATAGTGTAATGTTCTGTTGATCTCAGTTATCTAATGCAAAGCTTCTGGCCTAGCTATTAATCAGTCGGTGATGCATATTTTATTGCCTTGCCATTTGTAGATGATTGTCCAACTAAAGAAAGAGATCCAGGAGTTGAAGGATGAGCTGGCCATGGTGACTGGGGAGCAAAGAACAGAAGAACTCACCCAAGAAGTGCTACTTCAGTATGCTTAGTATTGTTTTCTTTTTTCCACTTTCACAGGAAAAGTTTTATCCACTTCTTTGTTGGCATAACGATATAAAATTCACCTCAAAGCACTAAACTCCCCTGAGATGATAATAAAGTGTAGTTAGGCGCCAGGTTAGAGTGGCAGCTTTCCATGAAAAGCTGTACTAGGCTGCTGGCAATGTTTTCGCAGTCTCAGCTTTGAGGAAGTAAAGAAAAGACAATATGAAGGATGGGAATGTCTCTCAGATGCCAGCTGAAGAGTAGTGTTGTATAATAATGCAAAGTAAAAAAACAAAAACTGGATATTGGAAATAAGATCTGAAAAGAATTTAAGAAGAGTCTTTTGTGTTAAGAAGTGTCCTACTGCAGTGCTAGTTTGTTATATGCCAAAAAAAAGTTTGCACTGCTAATGCTTGGTACATTCATGTCTTAAAAGTGAAATATTTAAAATCTTAATTGATCCTGGGTTGCTTAATATATACCAGTTTTGATGGCTCCTATGGCTTTACAGTTATAAAACTGTAGAACATGGTTTTGAGAGAGGCTTATAGGTCTGGAACAGTTAAACACTATTTCTTTCTCTGACGCTGTGTCTTTGTGGTTTTGGTCATCTCACTTTATTTTCCAATGCCTCTCTTGTAAAAGTAAAATAATATCTATCTTATAAGATGCTGAATAATTAATTAGTTGACAGCTAAATGATTGGTAGTTAAATACTGACTATTTATTAGTGCAGTAGTATTCAGATATTTTGCAGCTTTAGGGTCCTTGTCTTCTTGTGTAAATAAGTGTTTATGAAAGAACCAGGGGTTTATGGAGTCACAGCAAACAGCTGCCAAGGACTGCTGAGGTGCTCCAGTTGCTTGCCGCATCTTGAATTTCAAAGGGCATCACTTCTTTGATTGGCTGCATGGGATCACTAAAGAGCTCCAGCTGAGTGGAGACGTAGTGCCTTTGAAATAAAAGCCACAGCAAACAGATAAGCAGCTTGTCGTTAATTCAGCAACCCACTGCAAGGTAAGCAGGTTTTGAACCACTCAGATAAACATAATACAGGTGCTGCTGCATCACCATTTATTTATTATTGAAGTGGTCCAGAAGAGGGCTACACGTGGGGCTGTGCAAAGCTTCAGTCGCTGATTTGATTCGGCAGAGATTCAGCCAGATTCAGCGGCTGAATCTCCAAATCCAGATCGAATCAGGAGACCCTCTAATCTGTCTGAATCAAGTCAGAGCTCTCCAAATCAATTCGGAGGGACTCAGTGGTTTGGACATAGACACAGCTTTAAATGTTTTTTCTACATACCTCAAGGTACCAGGCGGCTCATGAACACTGAGATGGCGAGGCAGATGGAGTGTCCCATGGGAGCACGGGGGGGTCTCCAGCGCACTCAGCAGTGGACCTGGAAATGGACCAGAAGCACTTCTGGTCCATTTCTAGGTCCGCCACGAAGCAGGAGGGAGATCTCTCCCCTGCTCCCCTGGCTCGGCAACTGGTGCCTCCTCGGTCTGAGTGGGCACCCGGGGTCCCTCCATGGCCAATCGCCGAGCTGGGAGGGTGCAGTGGGGGGGTCCACTGCTGAACATGCAGGTCCCACCCCCCCGCACTTCTGTGGGGTGCCCTATCCACCTCACCATCTCAGGATTCATGAGCCGTGCCTGGTACCTCAAGATATGTAGAAAAAACATTTAAAGCTGTGTCTGTGGCTGAATTGCTGATTCTCCAAATCATCATCAAATCTTCAGATTCAGCTGAATCGAATCAGGACAGTGATCTGAATCAACTAATTGAATCACTGTCACCGGAATCGGGCTGAATCCAAATCTGAATGTAATACAGCCACTTTGCACACCCCCTAGCTACCAGTATAGAAGAGTAAAGAATTTTTGTTAATAGAAAATATTAAATTTTCTTACTGGTGAATTTTTGTGGTTTCATAAAAATGCTGTTAGTGAACATTTGAATAGAGAATTTATTTCAGTCACTCCCTCTGTTAGTGTATACTTAAATAATCTATAATGAATTTAAAATTTTTAGTTTCCTAATTTAAATCTGTGTGTGTGTTTTTAAACTTACTGTTAGTTAATAGTCTTTATCATATGGTAGAATAAGACGTGTGTGGTAACACCAACAGTTTTTTGTGTAGCAACATTGTGTTTAGAAATAGACATGTGGAATATTATATCTATCACTTGAATTTTCCACTCAGGTCTTATTCATTATTGGGTTTTATAGTGTTCTTTAGTATTGGTTCTTTCGAGTGTCATTTCTTTTGAGACTGCAGTCATGAATCTTACTTTCCAAGATTTCCTACCTGTGCTATTCTTTGCCAGACAACTGGCAGTCTACTGTATAGAAATAGGTTTGAAGTAGATAAAGCTATTTAATATGAATATGCAAATGAAAACGCTGAATAGAATGTAGCCTACTCGGCCTCTGGCAGACGTTACACTTAAGATGTAACCAGTAGGGGTGTGCAAAGCAGGCCATATTCAATTCGGATGCGGCCCGATTCAGGGGGACAGTGATTCGATTCGCTGATTTGGATCACTGTCCCGATTTGATTAAGCTGAAGATTTGACTCTGATTCAGAGAATCAGTGATTTGGCTATAGACACAGCTTTATTTTTTTTTCTACATACCTCAAGGTACCAGGCACGGGCTCATGAACGCTGAGATGGTAGGATGGATAGAGTGTCCTACAGAAGCCCCTCCCATCCCCCCACCCCACATGCTCAGTGGCGGACCCGGAAGTGGACCGGAACTACTTCCAGTCCACTTCCAGGTCTGCCGCTGAGCATGCAGGGGCCCTCCCCTCCTGGCTTAGTGATTGGGCACGGGTGCCCCGCCACACCCAGGAGGGACCAGTTGCAGAGCTGGGGGGTGGCAGGGTCACCCACGTCCTCTGCAGTAGACCTGGAAGTGGACTAAACGTACTTCTGGTCCACTTCTGTGTCCACCGCTGAGCGTGCTGGGGACCCCCCTTGCTCCCATGGGACGCTCCATCTGCCCCACCATTTCAGCGTTCATGAGCCACCTGGTACCTTGAGGTACGTAGAAAAAACGTATAAAGCTGTGTCTATGTCCAAATTGTTGAATCTCTCCGAATTGATTCAGAGGCTTCCTTTAGTTGATTGTCTACAAGGGGACCTAGATACAATGTCACAATATAGTAGTTGTGTGGTTCTGAAAAACTTGCTTTTAGTGAATATAGATACACAAGCTTTGAAGAACATTAATTGGTAGAAATTAAGGATGTTAGTTTATGCCATTGCATTGTGTTTAAATAGCATGATAAGTATATGCAAAATTATTTTGTGTTCTGACCCCATTAGCTTGTGAGAAAGTAATATGCCTCCCTTGAAAAGAGAATTTTGCATTCTAATCCTTCCGGAGTAAAGTAGAGGTAGACTGCCTTTAAACGATAAATAGCAAAAAGATTTTTTTTTTTCTTTTTTCAGCAGGATCTTAGTTATATTAAGACAACCATTTTTGGAGACCAGAACTATAACATTCCAAGGTGCCTTATTTGCCTTTCCATTACAGTTAGTTCAGAATTGTGTAATGTAGATGTTTGCCTTTTAAGAAATACCATATTTACCCAAATCCAAGATGACCTGGAATTTAAGACAACCCCCTAATCTTTAGATTCTATACATGGACAATGTATGTACATTTTATTAATGTATAAATCTGTTATAGTTTTCAAGGTATTGAATTTAATTATTGGAGGGTTGTCTTAAATTAATTTCACACATTGTTGCAGTGGTGAAAGAGTGGCGAGGTGGCAGGCTCTGGGGGACACAGTAGGGGAGCAGGTGTTAGAGGACAGGCAGTGGGGGAGGTAGGTGGGCAGGCAGTGGGGGGCAGATGG